GAAAGATTTCAACCAAGGGCTCCGGCAAATCGTATTCCACAGCACCCCGCCCAGCATGGGGTACAGAAGTGGTTCGTGACGGGCAAAACAAAACAATTTGCTTGAAGTTTCAACAGAAGACCTGTGCCAATCCTAAGACCTGCAAGTATGAACATGTTTGTGCGATTTTGAAAAGTGATGGCACTGTCTGCGGTCAGAAGCATAGCGCTCTGGACCACCGCTCAGCTCCGTTTTGACGGGGCCCTGCGTGTTCCGAAAGGGACACAGACACGTCTAGGGTCGTACCACATGTCCGTATCCCTCCGGCCAGTGAGGACCCTCAGCCACTTGCAAGTCCTCCTCCTCCTAAACTCGTTTCACCGCAATCCAGCCCAGGTGCACATTTAAACAGCGCCAGGCCCTCATTTGTTTCTCGATGTTTGCAGCGGGGCTCAGGCTCCCTTGTCCGAAGCCCTTTTAGGTTTCGATCGTGCCGTTTTGCCCATCGACATTTTAGTATCACCTGAGATGGATCTTCTTAATGACCTGTTTTTCGAAGAATTACTCCGTCTTTGTGCTTCAGGTCTAGTTGCGTATTGTGGTACAAGCCCACCATGCAGTGAATTTTCTTTGCTAAAACTTCGCTCTCCGGGCCCCAAACCCATTCGGACGTACGAGTTTCCTCTAGGTATCCCAGATCCCAACCCTCAGGAAACACAGCGATTGATTCTTGCAGCACGTGCACGCAGCTGGCGGTCATGGACACTTGGAAGCCCCACCGAATGCCTTCACGTGGTATGATCCAGTTGTTAAGTCGTGGCTTCATCAACAGCGGTGTCAATGCGTAGTGGTAGCAGCTTGTTCATTTCACATGGATATTTCCAAGCATTGGATGTTCGCATGCAGTCATGATTGGTTCTGTGACATGGCTTGCGCATGTACTCACTCCACTCATGCACCGTACGCAGGCCTCAAGGATTCCTCGGGCACTTACCTCAGCCGACGAACAGCCGAATATCCCAAAGAATTGGCACAACAACTCGCCTCACGTTTGAGCTCCCGCATTGGGCCCAAGATTCTCCAGTTGACTTTAACCTCAGCCCTAGCCATGATCCCCATTAAGCCCCTACAGGTAGCCCCACACGCCCTCCATGATGGAGGCGGTAAAGGTAGTCAACCGGATTGGAGCGCACCTCCCAATACTGAGGACGTGTTGAAACCACTCAGGGATAGCTGGATCAATCTGATCCTTGAACAAGGCCTCCATAAAGCCTTCCTGGCCCATGTGGAACAAGCCCAATCCACTCTGCCTTTCTCGGATGAGTGCATCGATCAGTTTCGGTCCTCTCTTTCTGCTTGGCTTCCAATGGATTGGTCCATCCGAGATGACCAACCCATGCATCTTGCAGCCATGCAAGCCCTCAGCCACCGGCTTCATGATCCCGATAGTGAGGTCTTCACTAGCCTCATCGCAGGAGTCTCAGCCGGCACGGCAGATGACCCCATTTTACCCAGTCGAGTGTTTTGGGAGAAAGATTCGGTAGCTGACCATGATCTTCCTGCCCTTCAAATTCACAGAGATAATTGGAAATCTAGTGAGGATCATCCAGAATTAACAGAAGAGCTCATTCAGAACGAAATTGATCAAGGGTGGATTTTCCAGTTTTCTGGGGACGAAGCGGAAGCTCAGAAGCAATACCCCCACGGAGTCGGCCTCGGTAAATTGGGCATCGCCTTCTCAGATTCTCGACCTCCTCGACTGGTTTTGGACAGTAGCATCTGTAAGACCAATCAAAATTGTTGGATTCCTGAACGCCAGTGCTACCCATCCGCTCGAGATGTTGTTGAATCATATCCCCTTCGCCATTGCACGGAACCTCAGCATGCAGCCACGTTTGACGTGAAGTCAGCTCACAAACGCATCGTTCTTGCTCCACGACACCAAGGCCTAGTAGCATTCACCTTCAAGGGCACTATCTACTTTTATCGGGTTTGTCCTTTTGGGGCCACGTTCAGTGCATTTTGGTGGGGCAGACTAGGAGCTTGGCTGGTGCGCGTGTTTCACCGCCTGATTTGGGTCCAACATGGCCTGCGGTTGTTCGTTGATGACTTCTTGTTGACTCAAAGCAAACAAGTCTTACCGATCTTTGCCACACTCCTGGCTATTTTTTGTCAGGTTTTTCGCATTCCTCTTAGTTGGCGCAAGTGTACCCTAGGTCCAATGGTTGATTGGATTGGATGGCGCTTTAATTTCTTCAACGGAATCGTTTCTTTGCACCCGGACAAGCGCAACAAACTGATTGCGTTGATCCACGACTTGCTTGCTCATCGTCATTGCACTTGCAAACAACTGGAAAGGTTCACAGGTTTGGCGCTGTGGGTCACCCATCTCTTTTTGCCTTTTCGTGCCGTACTCCATTGGCTGTTCTCAGACTTGTATTGCTGTCCTGCAACTCACTACAGTGTCAACCCAGGATCTTGGACAGTAGTTAAATCGTGTCTAGCCGACGACCTGACCTTTGTGTGTACACCCACAGGCACAGCAATCCCAAAGGGATCCAAGCTCATTTCGATCAGGCATCATTCAGTGCAAACCTTGCAAGAGGTAGAATCGGTTCGCATGACGGACCGTAGACTGTGGCTTCGGATTGTGAACCCAAACTCCCAACAGCGCAAGCTGTCCGCTCACAGTCGAAGAGTTCTTAAGCTGTGGTTGCAATGGCTCACAACCTGCCCCCCACTCCGCACCATGCGCCCGCCGGCCCAGGTGTCAGTTAAAGCATCAGCAGATGCCTCAGCCCAAGGGGAGTTTTTCCAGACGGTGGATTGATAGAAGCGGGTACCACCATCCACTGGTTTGCTGAAAAGTGGTCGGTGGCCGATATCACCAAATTCGACATTCCAGTTCGTTCAGATGCCCAAAAAGACATTGCTTGTTATGAAACTCTCGCCCAAGGATTTCTAATCTTTCTTTGTCTGGCACTCTGCCCAAATGTTTGTGTTCCTTTGCACTTTCACAGCTTGAGTGATAATGTGGCCGCCGAAGCAGCTGGCAACAAATTGTTCACAACCACCGCTCCATTGTGCTTCTTTGTTGAACAATTGGCCTCTATCCTAGTGTCTGAAGGCATTAGTTGTGACATATCTCACATACCAGGCCCTCTGAACACTGATGCTGACTTGCTAAGTAGATGGGACTTGACTTCCGAGTTGCCTTCCAAGTTTGATGCCGCGCATAGGCATCCAATGAGCCTGGATGCATTCTTTCGGTCTCACCGCCGACTCACTCTTCACCCTTCGGGTTTTCAGCTCCAATGGCCTCTTGGCCCTAGCTAAAGCATTCTTCGCTGTCAACTTCCACTCAGTGCCTCTGGGTTTTTCTGTTTATCCGAGTGTTGTTGGTATGCGAACTGGTGAAAGATCGCAACAACTCTCCCATCCTTGGCAGTGAAAAATGCTTGCGGAGTTCGAGCGAGGGAGTGAGCGAGAGAGTGAAACTTTGTTTGTTGCTTATTTGGGGAACATTGTAAGTATCCTTAGAACGTGGTTGTGACACTTCACTTTTTTTTTGGTTCTTACATGTTCGATGGCCATTTTGGTTCTAAGGTACTTCAATGTTCAACCCCTCCCACCACAACCCTGTTAAAGCTTCATTCCCTATCATGCGAGCAGACATCTGATTCATCTCAAGGATGTCTCACCAGATAGTCACCACGACTACACCGCGACGGTCACCATGACCATGGGACGGTGAAAGATCCCAACAACTCTCTCATCCTTGGCAGTGAAAAATGCTTGCGGAGTTCGAGCGAGGGAGTGAGCGAGAGAGTGAAGCTTTGTTGCTTATTTGGGGAACATTGTAAGTATCCTTAGAACACTTGTTTGCTTGTATACTGGGCGTTTTGTTTGTCGCTGCTGGCTTGTCCCCCCACTTGTTTCCCTCTGCTCTGTTTTTATTTGGCTACTTGACTTAGTTGATTGTTGTTTCAGGTGCTCTTGTCTATTGAGTTAGTTGCTATCTGGGAGCTGTGCCGTAGTAGGTAGTAGTAATAGGTAGTAGTCGGCAATAGTCGGTAGTGGTGGTAGTAGGTAGATGTAGGTAGTAGTACGTAGGTAGCAGGTAGTAGGTGGTAGTAGTAGCAGCAACAGTAGTCGTCGTCGTAGTAGTAATTCTAGTCAGTTCACTGGTCAGTAGTCAGTAGTACTAGTAGTACTAGTACTAGTAGTCGTAGTAGTCGTAGTAGTAGTAGCAATAGTACTAGTACTAGTAGTAGTAGTAGTAGTAGTAGTAGTGGTAGTGTAGTGGTAGTGGTAGTGGTAGTGGTAGTGGTAGTGGTAGTGGTAGTAGTACTAGCAGCAGTAGCAGTAATCGAGCTCACCAGATGGCTAGACCACAAGCACAGAAGAGCGAAACCGAATGGCAGTGTAGACAAAACACATCATAGAAAGAGAACAAACTGCATCGCGTATGCTCCGCGTAGGCATGTTTGACGGACCAATGGTTTGCGTAGGCGCATGCTGTGGAGGCATAAGATTGCCTAGGATCCTTGCGTAGGGGCCCATGCAAAGAAAAACTTTACTTAATTGACATCGGAAATGCCTTTCAAGGTCTACATGTTCATGTTCAAAAATGTTTCGCTGACTGTTGAACCAATATCCAAGGAACACTCGAGGCACCAGCATTGGTGTTTCGTGCATGTTGGATCATTTTGGGCCAGAATGTTGATCCGACAGGAACTGCAGAATACCATATCCAGAGCCAGAGTTTTTTGATTTTGTGACGTTTTGCAGTTTTTAGCTTTGGGATGTCTTGGGATGTTTTGTGAACCACTGGTTACTAATTACCAGCGAACGGTCGTGGTCTGGATCCCCGATGATATCACACTCCAGTTCTTGCTGCCTCAACCGGGTTCTCTCCGGAGAATTAGGGCGCTGGATTCGTTCAGCTGCAGGATCTGTGACCCTTGAATCCTCAATCCATCAGCCTGCCCCATGTTGTTTTTTTCCACTGTTTCTGCAAGGTATGCGCCAGATGAGGAGACGCGTCGTCGGATGGATTGCCCCCCAAACCCCGGTACTACTGTAGCAATCCAAAAGGAGCAGCTAGCTACAGACACGTTTGGTGTCCAAAATCAAGTGAGGGACAATGCCTTCAATGGATGTACCATCACGAAATCCAAATCCGATCTCTGCAGGTGTTCTAAGTTCTGTGGGACCAATTGATCCCGATACCATTGCCTTAACCTTCCAACGATGAAGACGCTGTCATGTCCAAATGACAGTCGAAAGACTGCGCAGCTGCTAGCCTAGAGATGATGTGGTGAGGCATGTTTTTTGGTATAGTACACTTTGAATGCGACAAATGTGAATAATTTGAGGGCATTTCCCACATACAATTTGCTGGATTTGCTGCTGGAAAACAGGTGTGCATCCATGTGCATCCATTTCTTAATGTATTCAACGTCAATTAGTTGGATAGTGTTGAATTTATTTTGTTTAATCCAAGATGCATTTTTGCATGGCAGGCTTTGGAGCTGAAACTTCTTTGGCGCCCAACATCCTGCAGTAGGGTTCCAAAAACTCCGTTTGAATCTGTCTTGGCGAATCAACTGGATGGTCAGAAGGTACATGTCCAAGCTGTCTCAGGGTTGTTCAGATGATTCTTCTCCGGCCGACCGGAGCTTCTCTCTAGGACTGCTGCACGCAGTTCATTTGGGACCCGGACAACAGGTGCCCAACTGACTCCTGACTCAACCGTTGAGTGGGTCGTTTCTGCCAAAGATGTGCTCCACATGCAGTTTCCTGGGTGCCAAAAGAGTTGCAACATATGCCAGACCTGCCACCCGAAAGCAGTGGAGCTTTCCTTTGCATTTGAGAGGCCCACGTAACCCACCACCGCTTTTGTACCTGGCGCAGGTACCACACGGATCAGTACCTGAGAGAGAGGGCCTACTTCAACATTTCCTATATCAAGGTTTTCCAGTAGCTCTTTTTGTGTCGGTTGTTTTGCCTGGGATCCTTGTCGTGGCCTGTCAGAGGCTTGGTCGAGCTAGTTTGCAGCTAGCTTAGAGCTTTCCAGATGATGCTTCGCCTTCTCGGGAAGCATCTACCCTTGCAGATGAAGTTCGGAAGTTACACCGGACAACTCAGACATCTGAAGATCCAAGGCAAAGCTTTCAAAAGGCCTCCTGTGCCGCAGGGTTTGGGAAACTGAAGTTTCTTTGGACCACCCGCGCTGCTCAAGGATCCCAGGTTCAACACCTGTCCGACCGGACGGTCAACCGGACCTCCCGTGGCACCACCGGTCCCCTGCCCGGATCGCCGGCATGGCATCGGCGGCGAACCAGCGAAGCGCAAGCCAAGAGTCGCAGAAAACACCGGGAAGATGCGGGCGGGTGTGGGTGTGATGTTGGGAGTATACTCTATACTAGCAAACGACCTGTATTGAAGGGAATGGTTGGAGAATGTGGGAGCTTTTGGGCACAGCTTCAGCCCCCCAAGATCGGCGATCGGTCAGTCGGCGACGGTGCCATGACGTATCAGACGGAGAGGTCAACCGGTTGGTATCCTGTTGCCATGACCTACCAGCATCCCTTCCATTCAACCACGGGCTCACGTCGGCGAACACGTGGAACCCCCCCCCACCAATGCGTTGTGGTCTATGTTCCTTCTTAGAGGGGTTCTTTCGGGGTCTCTCAATTCTAGACTTGAAATATGCTTTCACTTGTTGCAGGTCAATGCAGGTCAAGCAACTTCCTTACAAAGAGTGGCGGATAAGGACCTTCCAAGGTTTTTGTCATGTCATGTTGCAGGCTTTGGAACATTAGGGTTGCAGTGGTGATGATGTTGCAACTTGAACAGTTGCCTTCTAAAGTTACTTGTGGTAAACATCTCCCTGTAGGGTACCAACATCCACGGGGGCCGGCTTGAGGCAAAGCCGGAAAGAATCCTGACCCAAAAGCTTAGGTGTTGATCAAAAGAGGCCAGGTAGAACCTGCGCAAAACTGGATGGCAAGAAGGTCCCCCCGTGGAACACTTCCATTTTGTGCTGCTTCTGTACCAAAGCTGTTGGATCTCCAATCGAGTCTGTCTGTTTTTGACCGAACCTTTGGACTTTTTCAGGTTGCCGAGATGTTGAGAATAAAGGTCCTTTCTATACCTGGACTCGTCCGAATAACATGGAACATGACCCTATAAAAGCAGGTGCTTGTACCCACGATCTCAGGCATTTTGAGACTCCAGGTAGGCGAAATCAGCAGTTCTAAAGCCGCCTTTGTTTCACGACCATCAGTTCCGGATGGGATCCTCGAGGATCCCCGCGGGAATTGGTTGCAGTTTCATAGACAATGACGGTTTTGGGATGTGCAAACCAATTCTTCAACATATTTGGCGTCCAGGCAGAGCTCATGTTCCAAACCCTCAAAACCCCTTGAATTCGTTGGTTGCTGGGGGGACTTCTTCTTGCTGCGCCCAAACCGTGGAGTACTTTCGTGTGGAGACGGGTCTGACAACGAATGTGGCCGCATGGCCGCGTGGCCAGGGCATGTTGAGCTCAGCGAAGGACATTCTAGGCCGGTCGATCGGGTGAAGGGATGAGCCTAGGATTGGAAGGACTTCGATGGGCCCTGGCGAAGAAGGAGCCCAGTACAGGAACATACTGTACCTGTATCTTCCTACTACGCAGCTATTCAGTCTTTTTAGTCATAAAACAGCAGCAGGAAGATAGAGGGTGATAACCAGTTGAGGAGTGGATGTCAGTTAAGAATCTCAATGACTTGACCTGGATCTTGCTCAATCAGTCACTGGACATGCGATCGCAACATCGAGCCTTTCTGCTCAGGATCCCTGGACACACCTGTCATTGGTTAACAAGGGCTCCCATCAGGTGAGCTGCTAGTTGGACTAGGTACTTACCCGCGGCCTCCGCGTTGGGGGTGGTCGTATCGCGCATGTTCGGAAGAAGCGGACATCAGGCACTCCGACATGGTCTTCATACCTCACACCCGTGCCACGCCACGCACACGGCTGGTGCCAGGCTATGACCTCTTAGAGCTTTGCTTGCAGGGCCCCGAGGCGCCCCACGGCACGCGACGCGGGACACCCGGCCGTTTCGGGATCGGTTCGCTTTCACCTGTGCCAAGCGGTGCCAAGCGGTGTGGGTTCACCTGTGCCAAGCGATGCCGCCCTTCGCGTGGCCAGGGCATGCTGACGCCCAAAGAACCATTCACCCTTGAGAGTCGAACTGGAAGCCCAAAAGTACACAACTTAGACCAAAACGAGCCCAAAACACCTCCGACTCGGGTCCTGCTCGGGTTCTGAAGAAGGGCAGCATCTCTTCCGTCCTAAGGCGAAGTTGGAAGAGACCCGGTACTGTCAGCCGGCCATGTTCGTGGCTGGGTCCGGAACTCTCAGAGAACGCCCGGGAGAAGGCGGTCGGAAGGTCATTGTTAGGTCTTTAATGTCTCATCATCAAGGGCGCGGGCGGTTGGTGTTTGGTTGAGGGTCAAGCGGTAAAACAAAAAAGATCAAACATGTATCATATGTTTGAACAATAGCATCATGGTCGCCCTTCGATGGGTAGAGTTTGTTTCCATCAAGAAGGTGCTTTCCACATTTGCCCTGTGCATTTCACAGGAACCAGAGATGACATAGGCTTGCCCTTGCTTCGTCCAGAAGGAACCACTTCTGATCGCCCAAAAAGGGTCAGGCTCCATGGGGATGTGCCGCTGCCAGCTCCCAACGTAGAACTCACAGACCTTCTAGGAAGCTTGCCCATTGGCTTGCAGGATGTTCGTTGTTAGTATGATGTCCATGTAAGTCCTGCTTTTGGATAGGCCATCGTGGCACACGAAGATGATATATAGAATTGGGATAATGATAATGCATATATAGGTGCTCTTCCATATTATAAGATAACAATATTCCATCATTCTGATTTGGTTTCCCGGAATAATCATTCAGGAACTATTAGCAATGACCCAGCAGTGGCGCCAAACTGAACAACACAAAGTGTTGGAAGGACAATCAGGAACAGCAGCTGCAACGGAGTCCAGAACTGGAAGAGGCGGTGGGTTTCAGAGGGGCCCACGCTACAGAAATCGTGACCAGTTCCGGGCACAGTTGTTGACTTGTGGCCCTCAGGAGTGGAATGGGATCGTGAGGTGCCCGGCATTATTGATCGCAGGTGTTCTTGTCATATAAGCAACAGGAGGCATAGGAAGCCCCGAAACTAAGGAAGCAGAAGCTCCGCCCGTCGTCGGAGAGCAACTGATTTTCATGTTCCAAGCTTCGTCCCCTGTTCACATTGTAGACTCTTGATGAATAACACCCTGCCCATTTGGACTGTTCACACCTCTTCGTGCCTCTGGCGGGTTCTCCCAGCTCCGAGGCTCGCCGCAGTGGAGCAGCTGAAGAGCGACAAGAGCGACGTCCCCTGGACGTTGCTTTGGGACGCGCGCTCTCTCGAGCGCGGAGCAGGGGGGTGTCGTTCGTGACGTGACCGAGGCTTCTCCGGGCGTCGGGAGAGGGAGGAATCTCAAAGAGATTCCATGGGACATGTGCTTTTCACAACTAATACCCATACCAGGCCCCTGTAAAACGGGGTGGTGAATGCCTCGACCTCGACAAGGGGCTATGCTTACACACCCCAAACCGGGGGGGCCTGGTATATTCACTCCTTTTCCACCACCTTTTACTGTATGTAAAGTTTCAGACAGGTCCTTTCTGACAGGTCTGGTGGGGAGAAACAAAGAAAAAGCGGAAAAAAGGTCTGGTGACCCATGCTCTTGGCTTCTCTTGGAGTCTAGAAATGCCCACTAGAGTTCCCATCCACACTGGCATGTTCAAAACCCTTCTGTTTGAAACTCCAGGTCTTGATGTCTTTGTCTCCATTTCTTGGGGGTCCTTCTGGAAGGTCGTAGATGGTAACATCCCAATGGACCCGGACGTAGCCATACGAGGTTTGTCTTCTGTTTTTGGCAGCCCAAGAAGGTGGCACCTGCCACTCCTAACGCAAGTTGCATTCAGGTGTACTGAAGACAGGTGTTTCTGGATCTCCTGCCCCACAGGGAGGGGGTCTCTCACTATCTTTTGAGGATGTGAGAACAGAGCCCTAGGGGGAACATGGACCTCATGCCACAGCTTGCTATGCCATCCAACCGTCTCCACTCAGCTGTCCGGCCAGCATGCCACCCGCTTCGAAGCTGCTGCTGGCTTATCCCTGGGTGCACCTGGCAACGGTTGGAAGGATCTCTTTCGCATTTGTGAGGGAAATGCCCGTGGGGCCATACTTGTAGTTGTTTGCCTGTCCAATGCATCCTATGACACAATCTCTTGGGTAACATGTTTAGTTTACTCCATTTTGGAGCTTGGAGGAATTGATTGCGTTTTGAGGATTTGCAGAAATAACAAAAAGGGTTGGACTCAAAAGTGTAGGTAATTCATTGACTGGGACTGGGTAGGTAGACTGTGGAAGGAGTTCACCACCTGTTTAGTCTTAAAAACGCATGCTCCGTCTCCGAGTCGAAGAAGCGCAACTGACTCCAGAACTTGGTTGGCTGAACATCTTGGCCGTTTCCGGATCCCACGGGCACCCAGACATGGTCAAATCTTTTTTTTGAGGTCTTTCGTATGGTTGAAACTGGTACATTTTTGTTGGAAGTGGTTTGTTTTTTAGCGTGGTAACATGTGGTAACTGAATTCATTTCGATCCGCTGGGGTTGGTGTTGACTCACTGCAGTGGTCCTCATTTCTCCATCCAATTCGGTATGTTGCCTGATTTACGGCTTTTCGTCCTGTCTCCCTGGCATGCCAGGTACATCTCAGCAATTTCCATAGCATCCCGAACACAGGGCTCCAGTAGGGCTTTCTTACATACACATCATACATACTCGTATGAAGGATTTTCTCCCAGGTGGACCCTGGTTGACCCCTTAAAATGAACAGATTGTTCCAGAAAAGGGAGGTCCAACCGTCCAACCTTTGGTTTTGGTGGGGGAGCTGTGAGGACCCCACAGCCCTGGCGCCATCTCTCCGCACCGGCCACGTGAACTCGCCAGGCGAGTACACCGCGCTGTGCGCGGCGGGTGCCTTCACCTTCGAGGACCCGGGTGCCCTGCACCATCCTGTTGTGCTGACCCAAAGGAAAGGACCGTGCGGAGCCACGTGGTGCGGCAGGTTGCAGCAACATCAACTATGGCACTTGAAGCCGAAGCCTTGACTTTAAACGGTCGTAAGTAAGTCAAAAATCTGTGCTAAGCAGTGTTGTGTTGAGTTGAAAGAACATGTGGCTACGGCAGGCCTCGTATTGTACTATATGAACCCCACCTTTGTCTGCAGGGTGCATGCTTTTGGGCAATTTAACGGCTATAGGTTGGGGTACCATTGCTAATTACTCGGTTGTCCGAGAAACCTTTCTCCGTTGGTGTGGTGTTTGGTCAGGAAGTTCCTTTACATGTTGTTTTTCGCAACTGTTTGCCGTGGAACCTGGATTTCACAGTTGCCTATGTTCTGCCATTCTGGGACCAAAGTCGAGTTGCTCGAGCTGAAGAGAGGCTCGGGCTTCTCCAATCCAATGAAGCGATGGGCGGCCTTCCTCCTCGCTGCGCAGCTCGGTGCCGCTGTGGTCTTGGAGGCGCCGTCTCGACGTGCAGCCAAGAAGACCTTGCCAAAGGGGCTGCTGAGGCGCAGAGCATTGCCGTGCCGTGCCGGTCGGTGCTCTGGGCCGAGTGAGGGAAGACCCAGCGATAAGAGCTGCAGTGAACGGTGCCTGACTGGTGTTTTTGTTGGGTGGACATGACTTGCATGATCCTCCCTTGACACGTGTCGCCCAGAAGAGTGCTTGAGTATTCTTTTTGGACCATTTCTTATATGGGTTGATCTACTGTAAAACCGAGGAACGACCGTATTCCTTGTGAGTCCTGGATCACTCTTGGAGCCTGGATAGGAAGACAACCAAGAAATCTTCACAAAGCAACTCCAAGCGTCTAATGGACATGGTCCAAGCATTCTCAAATCTACACCAGACCTGGAAAGTTCTTCTGAGAACTGGTTGAGCCAATTTTTACCCACAAAAAGGCACCCCAAACATTTTGTCAAAGAGCCTATATAGTCCTAGTTCCACTCCTCGTGACACCTGGTGGCATTTACCTGTCCACATAGGCGAAGTGATTGTTCACCAAGGGAACGCGGCTGTGGAATGCCCAACACGGTGGAGTCACCAGTTTTTGATCCATTGACCAGCACATACCCGCACTAGACTTCACAAGATTGAGCACCCAAAGAATATTCTCCCAAGGGACCGCAACCACAACAGCCTACCACCATGGGCCCAAACAAAAATATAAAAGCACATCCTAATATAAACATACCTGGACCATCCTCAAGCTGGGTGTCCAGCCACGGCTTTCTTGGGCAAAGCCGGAAATCCGGCTCCAGGGATGATCTGCAGGGCCCACTCTTTGTCCACATTCCCAAGACCGCGGGCCTCTTGGCGAACCGAGCTTTTTTGATGCACTGAGGATGAGGATGTATATGTGTGTGAACTAAGGTCTTGAGCTTGTGGTTTAACACCAAAATGATCCAATCTGAATTGTTTGCATGATTGAGGCAAAACGCTTGTTGCACAGAAAACGAGGGTGAACGGGGCTACGGGGCTACGATGGCTGCCGGATTTTTGGTGACAGTGATTGAGGTCCAGTGACATGCAATGATAGGCACGAAACGTTTCTTGGTGCCTGTGGTTGGTTCGTTTCTTGATAGCCGAGGTGTTCGAGCTTCTTCTATTCGGATAGATCTCCCTATACATGCTCTCCAAAGAACAAGAATCCCATGCGCCCCCCGTGCCATACCGGGTTTCTCTTTAAGGCACGTCCATCTGGAAGGCGCTTGGGCCCAACTATACCGACTCCGGGAGATACCCCGAGGCCGTCCGCGCGGATCAGGTGATCAGGGCCATGACCCAGCGCCACCGGTCATGGGGTGTTGGTTTCCCAGCTCAGAATGAGATCCAACAGCTTTAACCTGTAGCCTGATTGGTGTAAGCTGCGTATGTCCCAACTCCAGGCGCCAAGTTTCAGCTGCGTTCGTGACGTTTAGTGGAGCTCCGCCCAACACGTCTGACATGTCCAAGTTGCTGTCATACCGTCCAATCATTGAAGCGATGGCCCGGTGGAGGACCACTTTCCTCTACAAAGGGGGTGAACTCCACTTCCGGAATGTGAGTTCGAGATGAATGTGTTCAGGTCCTTTGTCACGAAAGGTAGCCCTTTAGGGGATACCTTGAGTTTGTCTTGCGAAGCAAGTGTTGGGACGTCCGGGTCTAATAATTGATCGCTCAATTCAGACCCCCCCCCACCCCCCCCCCCCCTTGGGGATCTTTTTTCCAATCCGGCCCCCCCCCCCCTCCCCCCCTCTAAAATCAATTCTCTCCTGGAGATCGTCGTCGTGAGCCTCTCATGATTTCAGGATAGTTGAAACCCTCTTGAACATTCAGAAAGAGTGAATATGAAATTCTAATCACGAAAGGTGTTCCCCGAGGGGATACATACCTAGAGTTTGTTTTGTGAAGCACGTCAATTCTCTCCTGGGGAGCGTCTTCGTGAGCCTCTTATGGTTTCAGGATAGTTCAAATCCTATGATGTTCCGATTCAATGCTCACCGATGATCTGAGCCATGGGGCAAGTTTGTTTTCCTAAGAATCTTTTTGAACATTTCGAGAGCACATGTTTGAACATTTAAAGTGCATATGAACATATATTTACGAAAGGTCGCCTCCGAGGGGATAAATCACCATGTCGAACATTGCATTTTTGTTCCTGCCTCTCGCGTTCTCTTCTCTTCCCGCTGTCCTACCTTTCGTGTCTCCCTCCTCTCAAGTTGGATGTATTGGATTTACAGTCCAGACTCTATAGATCCATTCTAAGATCACAGCGGTGGACCATGCCGAACCCACAGGTCTCGTTCTTCTGCATGAAGCACAACCCACCGAAGGCGCGGAGAGTGGTCTGATCATCGATGTTGCCAACGAACCGCGTAGAGGAAGGATCCCAACTTGCCACCGGAAATGGTCTCGAGACCTTCAACTGGGTCTCCCATGTGAAAGAGAAAACGTTCCTTCCAAGTCATGTCATGCTTGCGCAACCACTCCGTACTGTTCGTCTTTATGTACTAGTACTAGTAGTCGAACCGGCATACTCTATTTGCTTGCTTGTCTATCATCAGTATTCGCTGGTGAACGAGATAGAGCCCCCACACAAACGATATACTTTTGCTTGATGACACTAGAGTAGTCTGAACGAGATAGTGTGATTTGCTAAAGTAGTCTGAACGAGATACTGTGACATGACCTCCTACTTGAGTATAGGCTAAACGAGATAGGGCACCCACAGATAGTGTATTTGAGTTTAGTACCAAATATATGCCGCCGCACATATAGAAAAATCATGAACAATGAAATTAGATCACTGTTTTGCAGTATTGTCATTTGTTGCTTAAATCTACTACACTATTTCACAGATGCAAGGTACCTTATACTGTACCAGAGATACCACAATTCACATATTCTGTGTAAAGTGTAAACTGCAAGCCACCTTGTATCCGACGAACCCAACCAAAGACAAACATTTGGGTGCTGGAGAATCCGAAAGTCTCGACCAAAACAGCAAGTTTTGGGCTTGTTTCAAGATGACTCTCTTGGCATCAGGAGATGTTCAGAGGAGATGTTCAGGATGGAATCAGAGGAAAAACACGACATGGACTCGGAAGGTCTTTTGTTCGTGCCTCCCGAAGAAACCAGACTGGAGACTGGAGCACGGTGTCATCCATCCGCCAGGAGCATGTCCCTGATAGCTGGGCGGTGGTCCGGGACGTGTGCGATCGACTGGTCTCGGAGTTCGCATGGGCGCGGCTACAGGGATGGTACCAACGGCATCTTGGAGCAAACAAACATGCTGTCTCGGATGTTTTTGCTGAGTTGAGAACTAGGCTTTTGGAGGTGTGTAGAGGAAAATGCCAATTTTCAGATAGATGTTTTGTTGAGCCATTGGAGTCTGGAGCTTTGGGTTTTTGGAGGTTTGTAATTGGAGGAACATGCCAATGGTTTTTGGATGCTTCACCCTTTCCGGTTTCAATTGAATCGAAGCAATAGTTCATGTCCACAGGGCAGCCACACTGTTAATGCAAGAACTGCTGCATCACCTGGAACCATCAAAACACCACAGATTGTTTCCATTTCTCAAATGTTTCAACAAATCCACCGGAGCTGCCGCCTAGCCCCGCCTGCACCGCAGCGGGGCCCAGGTACCGCAAGGAAGGCTTGGACAATCATGCTGAGCCCAACTGCACCACCTTCAACAAGTGGGTGACTTTGGTGATGCAAAAGTGTCTTGGAGAAAAGCATGATAGAATCGTTGACCCCCATGTGGGGTTGTCGTGAGGGTTGGCGCCAAACATGTTGGCTGGAAGGCCATTGGGCCATGGGCCATAACTTTTTTGCAAACTCCGATCTGTTATTTCTTTTCGATTGAATTTGACATCACCATTCGCTTGAGCTTTGATACCATAATGCTGCCCAGAAGCTGAGGGCGATGAGACACGAGGCTCCAGTCGCAGAGCGAAAATGTGTAGGAAACAGTTCCCAGCTTCTGTTGATGTCACAGGTTTTTAGGATACGCTGCTGAACACCACTCGTAACATAGACCCTGAAAAACACTGATTTGTAAAGATTCTTTTTTTTTCCACTGGTCAATTCTCAGGTTCGATGTTAGTGTTCGGGCGTGTAAGCATTGGCTTGGTCCAAGCCAAAGATGTTGGATGCCCCCCCAAAGATTTCAAGAAAACACCTCCCGCCCGACAGCAATGTTGCCATGTTGCCTGCTGGCATCTTCCTTTTAGACCAGGGATTCAGAGATCCGACCGATCCATAGGTTCCATCGAACCTGCCACCCCCACCAGTGGGGTCCTACCACCACCTCAGCGGCCGCAAAAGACCGATGGTTCAGCGAGTTTACGAGGTACCAAGAGGATTCAGATGTGGAGGACTGCCACTTGATCCCACAGTGGTGCCACTCGGCAGCCCGAGGTCCCGTCGCAGCGGTGAGTAAAAAAATTCGTACGCGTACGGAACCCGGTGAGGTACGGAAGCACCGGTTTGCAACCCGGCCGCTGCGGGAGGGGCGGGTCCATGCAGCTGAAATCGGCTGATTTGATGAATTGATGGGCATCTCTATGGGCCCAGTAAGAGCCTCTCTTTGCGGAGGAAACTGCCTTCGTCTAACGGGTAATTATGTCACCACCTATGTCGGTCGACTGAACGGACAAAAGAGATAATCAGAGACCCGCCCAACCCCCTGAAAATGCTCGCAAGAGGGTGACCAAAGTGGATTTCCAGACAGAAGATGTTTGCTTTACTTGGGTGGCCATCTGGGAGCTGCAATATAAAAAATGTTGTGGCAGCAGCATTTTCTCCGTAGCCAATGGCTGTTGAGCCAAAAATGTTGTGCAGCTGTTGCTGGAAGCTTAAAACATCTTAAAGCATTGCAGCTGAGAAGGGCTGCTTGGAAGCTGTTTGTTTGTTGTCGGAAGCTGCAGCTGAAAAGACTGCAGGCCATGTATCCCAATGTACACTGACTGGTTGAGACCAGGGCAGGCATTGCCAAAAGATTTGACCAGGAAATCTGTTTCAACCCATTCAAAGACAAGCCAGATGGATTCTGGAGCATGAGTTTCTTCGGTGTGTTTCTTTGTGCCTGGCTTTGTTGCCAACTTTGTTTGAGAGATTTTGACAGTAAGAGTGCATCACTGGAAGAACACCTCCCGCTTTGGCATTCTTCGTCATTCCTCCTTTCCTCCCTCAAGGCTCCCCGAGGAGCTCGGTGTCAAACACGGAGCTCGCCTTAAAGGTGGCCAAACACGCCCGTGGCCCTTCTGTTCGACCGAGGCTATGCCTCCAAGGTGGACAAGATCCTCCCTTTAACCGAGCACCTGGTGGCTCGGCGGCAGTGAACCGAGTCGGACGGCAGCGGGAATTCGGTCCGGTGGAGTCGTTCTGAACGACTCGGCGGAACGTGTGTGACAAGACTTGGCGATGGATGATGGATGCCTTGTTGATTTCCTTTTGGGTGTGTGGTCATGTCACCCAGATACCCCGAAACCGATCGGTGAACGTCGGAGCCCATGTTGATTCACAACCGCGGACTCAAGGGGCTTGGATTTGTTCATGCTGGGAAGACACCAAGGTTTTCCATGTTCAAACACCATTTCAACCATCTTGCAAGGGCAACATGTTGCCTGACCAGTATAGTATAGTATAGTTGTCCCACATCCCATCTATGACCCAAATGACCCATATCGTTGAATAAGACTCTTCACCAGCTCCAGAAGCTGCTCCGATCAAAGCTTGGCATCACCAGTTGAGATGCTATAAATCATGATATTGGGCCTGTCCTGTTTGTCCTATTACCAGTCACCTAAACGTAAACAATATCACACAATCACTATTTCCGAGAAAAAGCCTTTACTAACCATCATCATCCACTGTTACATCGGATAGACCTCGTGACTCTCTCCGTCCAAACGGGGGGACCGTTGGGGACCGAGATCCGTTTCGGTCCCAAGCGGTTCGTCGCGCGGGTCGCCAGGTCAGCGTCGGTCAGGTCACGCGGGTCGCCAGGTCACCGAAGTGGTCACCCTGTGCGACCGGTTCCAATGGTCAGAGGTCCTTTTTCCCTTTTGACACCGTCCGACCTCAAAGCGAAAAACGAAGCGTTTGGTGAAAAACGAACCTCGGCCAGGTGTTTTCCTTGTTGCAGGGGATGCTTGATCAGAGGGAAATCACCAGGTTGCTTGAGCCGAGAAAAACGACTTCCCAGCATTGCCAATTTCGGGTGATTGGATGTAAATTTGATGTAAATGACAGATTGTCTATTATTACTATAAACCGCTCAAACTGGGTGGGATGGTCTGGGAAGTTTGCCGGGCTGCATTATTTTAATTAGTTTCCTCGTTTGGGTGATTTGAAATTTGATTTGATGATTGGTAGGAAAGACCGGCACATACCGCACTCAGGCCGGGAAATACATGGAAATACCAACAACCAATGGTGGTTTGCCAGACATTGGCTAGACCAACTATAATATAGATTGTCTCAAAAATGGTCAAACAGCCCATGGCAAAGAAAGCCAAGGAAAGGGACATCCGCCAGATGGACCCACGCTTGAAGTATGTGGACCTGCACCACAAGAATCAACACTCTCATGTGGCCACTTGACAGCGTTGAAGTCACCGAAAAGCGAGGGGAGTCCGGTTGAAGCCAAAAAGTGAAAAACTCACACTGAGACCCTATGAGTTCCAACGATCTCACGGTGCCCGGACGCTGCAAACAGCCCGACGAGCTCCTCGAAACATCTCGAAACCTGTTTGACCTTAGCCTCAGACCCCTCCATATGAGAGTCTAATCCTGTCCATGAGGCAACATTTTCCTGGCATATACGTACAGATTGGGTGATGTTTAGCTAGCGGGCTGAATCATGTCTTTGATGTTGTCACACATTGCGTGAAAGTCGGGACCTTTCATTGTTTACTGTACATAGCAGCGCTTTCTGATGTGCCCTCCGTGGCAACATCTCATTGCATTGCATGTGTTCATGTTGCATGTTTTCTGAAATTACCTTGTGTTTCCGATTTTTTTCTGCTCGCTCCTCGGGATGTCCATTTTTGCCTATAATATCACCCAAGAATCTTATCGACATTTGTCCGCCTTATCTACATCTAATTCTTCATGCTTCTCTCATCATGCGCGTCAGGCGCATCTTCGACCTTTGGGTTGGGGTGGGGGGTGGGGTGGACATCACGTACGCTCCGTGATGTGCAACGTCATCGGCTTTTTTACATCATGCATTTTGCTGCATCATGCATTTGTACATGCAAAAAAGGGAAGACCCCCTCCTGTCCAACAGAACGTCGTCCCTTGTTGCCTTCCCCTCTTGCCCTCAATTGGCCCACTACCTGACCATCCACTCTTTTCCATTAAAGGTAGGGTTTGCAGCATTCCACTCAAACACATGTACCCAGACCTCAAACTTTGATCGGAGCGCTCCTTTCAGAACCTTCATGTTCTCTCCGGATAGCGGGCAAAAACACATCCACTTTTACGTTTCCATTTGCAACAGTACCAAGCTCAACAACCGCAATCACTTCCAGCTTCCGCGCGTCAAAAGCTTGCGATGTCAAACCTATGGATTCTCACACTCGCCTTGCTGATGGCATGCGACGCTGCTTCCAGCGCGTCATCACAGATATCGGGCAGGATTGCCGAACCTGAGCCTGAATGTGGGCCAAGCCTCAGCCTGCAATAGGCAAAATCAGCTGAGTAAACTCGCAAGATGCCACTGGCCACCTGGCCAGAGACAGCCTATGCAACAAAGATCCTCAGCTTTGCACAGTCTTGGAATCTGGTTTGGGTGTGGACAGTCCTGCAAGCTCAGGTGGGAGAGACCAAGGCCTCTACTCTACTCACAAGTTTCCGTTTGCACAGCAACAAGAAGCAAGGAACCGCCTAGGTGCTAGGCAGGTAGTCGTGGTTTGTCGGCTATGGTTGGATGAAGGCATTTCGCCACATAGCTAGAAACCTGATTGTGGTCTCCCGCAGCCCACTGCGGATCAATGCTGGCGGTGGCCGCGCTTGCAGAGCGCCTTCGCGACGGCGCGGCACTGGAGGGAGCTTTCTCTACTTGTGCAGCGAAGGGTTTTCGCTTTCTTGTTTTTGTGTGCACATGCAGGTTTTTGTTCCCCACCCGTCAGGTGAGGCTTGTTGGATTTTCTGTCAGCTCATGCCCTCCTCCTCCTGCTCCTCCTTCTCGTCCTTCGTGTCCTCAACCGCGAGCCTCAGCTGGTAGTGTTCCCCGTCGGACCTCAACTGCGAAGGTCGTGTGGCAGTGTGCCCCGCCGGACCGCAAATCCAAGCTGCACAGAGTGGCAAAGCTGTTTGGTCCGTTCCAGGAATGATGCCCTGGTTCTTGTAGTCCGGTGTTTCGAGATTGACATGTGGCTTGGTCAGACCACAGTCTTGCCTTCACCGGTGACCAAAAGGAGGGAAGCAACCTTGGTTATTAATTTGCTTCGCTTGGTCTAGAGAGTCTAGTGGGACGAAGTCCCAAGAAATCATCGTACAATCGTGGAATCTGAACACTTATATGATCTTATATGCATATGATCCCTGGAACAACCCAAAGTTGGTTAGATGTCCCATATAAAGTGAATTCAACCAGTCTTGTGTGTGTTGGCACTGTCTAAAATAATTGCGGTGGGAAACCAATTGTTCAACCACCTGGCTGAGCCATTTTTTCAGGTCAAGAAAATGAATGTCTCCTGTGGCTGCTTGACGCCTGCGAACCTGAAGGCTGCTGCTTGATGGAGACAAGAGAACACAACGGTTTGTTGAAAGAAAGGCTTCAACTTGGTTTGCTTGAGGCTGATGCTAGTGTGTCTTTCCAAGCACCTCAAAGTGCACCTCAACTGTTTTCTGTTCAGTTTAGAGGTAGCGAACCGTCTCAAAGCCGACGAATCTCTCTATGAAAGCTGGCAGTTACCCTTTGAAACAGAGGGAACTGGAAGAGTAAGTCACACCACAATTTGAGAGCTTCAGCCACACCATCCAGGAGCCACAACAAGCAAGCACTTTCACAGCCAATTTTTGCAGCTGCCCACATACTGGTACCTCAGACTGTGTGATTAGTAATAAATGTCTACAGTTCATGTATGTTCAATGTTCATGTTTTCCTAGCCCTTTGTGTTTTTCTTCCTCATACTGTAAGTTTGGTACCTCTCAGTGGTTCAGTGGTTGTTGATGCTGACCATTTCTTTGGACAGGAAGAAGACTCTCTACTTTGTAGTGAATGACTTGAGTGCATCATTCTGCCTTTTGGTTTGTAGGGGCCGTCTAGTGGCATGTGCCTTGATTGGCACGGTAGATCCTAGAGTCCTTGAGAATTATTTGGAAGATACATGTCACATTGACCTACACCAAAGTTCAGAGAAAAGATCACAGTGAGGCAAAGACACTATCACTCCACCCTTCACTTTGGGTGTTCCCATCCATAATGTAGACTCTTGACTAACGATCCCCCCAAGATATCCCAGACGAAGGGGGTGTTCAATCGAAATTGGGGAGTTTAATCATCAATATAGTCTACACTAGTGGTCCAGCCGCATCCAGCAATCAAGGTCCAGAGTCACTTCTTGGAAGACTTTGTTCATCTCAGGAGCGCGCACGGCGGTGCACACGTGCTGCCACTCCAAAGTATTCCCAGACACTTCATGTATCACATATTTGACTACATTCATCCCTGAAAGCATCCCAATGCAAATCTTCGAAACATGAAGTGTTTGGGATTGGTTACAGGAAGTACGTATAGTTGTTTTTTTCCAACGATTTGGGGATCTGCATCCCCAAGCAATGGGTTTCTGTTCCCTTCTAAGGGATGTGCATGGTCTCGGTCTTTTAAGATACACCACCATATCTATGTTGCTGACCTTGCGCGTTGGATGCGTGTGTGTGTGTGTCACCCCCTGTACCAAATGGTTCAACGCCACTGTTTTTCACTACAACCACTCAACGAGGCAGGGGGGCAAGGCCTCCAGCGATGAACCTTGTCCAACGAAGCTAAGTCGCTGGAGGGGAAGCACTGAGAGACGTCTCGGTGTGTACCTGCTGAGTTGTCCACAAGCTGTGACCCGACTTTTCCACGGTTTGATTCATGGTGGTTTCGCATGATACCTTCCCCACAAACAGGTTTTCCCACAGCCGCCTTTCAGCTGCCGTCCGCCGCTCGTCCGCTGCTGTCGCGAGTCTGCAGATGCGCACAAACCTTTTGTTGAAAACACCTTCAATTTGATCGGGCTCTTCACCTTGCCGTTGAGCCATTCCTTTTCTCGGGAAATTGAGTTAACTGAAAACCAATGTCAGAGTGTGTTTCGCTCAGCCGTCCCACTCGGGTGCTGAGTGTGATCCTCCGCAAGGAGGCGCCGTTTCATTTGGGAAATCGTGTAACTGAGCTTTTCCACCTTCACCGGAATCCACTACTGGCTCCACCTTAACTGAATTTACTGCCTCCACGGCCGCCGGGCCAAAAAACGGGACACCAGCAGACTTCACCCTGCATCATCGGGCTTGTATAAGCTGTGAACGTTGATTTTCGTGGTTTTCCTCCTCAAGCTGAGTGATTTGATTCATTTCGACCGCTTAATTCGACTTGCATGGACTCACCACCTTTCACACTTCCACAACTTCCACAAAATCAGGGACGCAACCAGCGCCGGGAGCCAGCGCTTGGCTCTGTCTGGGCTCCACTCAAGACTTCACACAATCCACAAATACACCTTTCCACCTTCGAGCGCTGATGCTGCTGCCACTGAACTTGTGAAACTCTACGTCCAAAAAGGACACGACTCAACAGCTTGCAGCCGGTTTTTGAAAGGAAAAAGCGCCGATCACGGCGACCTGTGTGTGTCACCCCCTGTACCAAAGGGTTCAATGCCACTTTTTTTCACTACAACCACTCAACGAGGCAGGGGGGCAAGGCCTCCAGCGATGAACCTTGTCCAACGAAGCTAAGTCGCTGGAGGGGAAGCACTGAGAGACGTCTCGGTGTGTACCTGCTGAGTTGTCCACAAGCTGTGACCCTACTTTTCCACGGTTTGATTCATGGTGGTTTCGCATGATACCTTCCCCACAAATAGGTTTTCCCACAGCCGCCTTTCAGCTGCCGTCCGCCGCTCGTCCGCTGCTGTCGCGAGTCTGCAGATGCGCACAAACCTTTTGTTGAAAACACCTTCAATTTGATCGGGCTCTTCACCTTGCCGTTGAGCCATTCCTTTTCTCGGGAAATTGAGTTAACTGAAAACCAATGTCAGAGTGTGTGTCATGCGTCTCGGGTGGGAGGTGCCTGGGGACTGATATTTGTACGATGTGAGGATGACATGTTCACAGAGCACCTTGCGAGGCATTTGCTGACCACCATACTACCATATACTACCATACACCCACGGACGTCTCAACCATGGGTTATCCGATGTGTTGTTTCTATATAGCTTGATCTTTTGTCGTTTGTTTCGGGAAACCACATCAACAAGCTCAATGACGGAGGCAGACAGCATAACAACACTTGTCAATTTGATACCTTCAACCAATTACAACAGCATAACAACAGCATAACCACATTACAACAACATTTGATACCTTCAACCTTTTCTTTGCAAAGACCTTGAATGCCCGTTGCTTCGTCGGACGAACCTTGGTGACGTTGGTGACGAGTGACCAGTGTCCGAGTCCTTCGGAGCAGATCGCACGTCGACTCGTCTTCCGAGATCGGGGCGATCGGAGGTATATTCCAGACAAGGCATGTATGTATATACTGTATATCCTATAGACATTGACATTGACCTCCCAAGGTAGGTAAATATTCCAGTTGTATGGAGTGTCTGGGGTATAGATCCTAATGTCTAAGACACTTGGTCTTGCGCCAGGAGCATCTTGGGTCCATCCAAGTACGAGCCGAAAGCTCTGAGCAATGCAAGCATCAAAGAATCGAGCTTCAGCTGAGTACGTCCGAGGAATGCCGGTCATGGTCATGGCCGGTCAAATCGACCCCTATGATCGACCCGGTGACTGGCAACCACTTGTTTTTCTCTTGTGAAACCAGCAAATACCGATGGTTTGGATGGTAAATCCCGGTATGGAAAGTGTCTCAAACACTCTGGCGGAAGGGGTCCAGTGGGGCGGAATGTTGGAGCATCGCATTCGCTCAATGTTTGTTCGTCTTGAGCTCAAGCAACACAAGATCAGCAACATAGAACAGCTAGAAGTGCAACCGCAACAATGCATGCAGATTATGGATTGTACATGTCACAAAAGTTTCTTGAATTTTGCAAAGAATTAAGAAGATGAAAGCCAGGGGAGAGCCTCAAGTCAACAGGAATTTGCTTGTAGGGCAGCAAGAAATAGTAGCAAAATGTAGTATACCAGTTAGGAATACTATGTCATACTACGTCCGTGTGTGTGTGTGTTTGTTTGTTTTTTGTTTATTTTTTTGTATTGTTTTGTTGTTTTTTGTGTTGTTGTGTTTTTTCTTGTATTTTTTGTTTGCATTTGTTATGTTTTTGATATATACTATCTTTTTTGTTTGTTTGTTTTGCAGCCTCTTTGAGTAGGACAATTTAGCTGGGTGTTTCTTTTTGCCTTTCTTGTTTCCTTTGATGACTTTTTTTGCATTGGTCTTGCATTTGTTTTTGTTGCAGGTTTTGCTGCGTCATCAGAACTAGCAAACGAATGGATATTCCCCGGCCCAGCTTGAGAGTTGATGTCTTTCTTCCGCAAGACCTCCACAAGTGACCTCCGGTGTTCCGGTCTTCCCAGTCTTCGATCCGATCGATCCGTCTTGAAAAGACCATCACGACCTGAAAACCAGGTTTGCAGAGCATGTTCCCATGTGACTTTTCGGGGCCATTGTAAGGATCCATGTGACTTTGGAGGGTATCCTCTCCAGAACATCCTGTCAATCACCATCAGCCACCGGCTGGGACCAAGCCTCGTGTAAACCGATTCAGGGACCAAGCAATGAAAACAAACTCATGCGGTTTTAACGTTGCGATGCTACAAGAATCCTTGGGCCTGACCGCCTTGGCAGGGATCGGACTCGAAAGAAATCCAGTGTTTGAGGGCCCAGATTCTTAGGGTAGTATCATTTTCCTTAGGCCTCCAAGATGTTTCAAGTACCTTTTCAGAAGGTATTTGGACCCTCCAAATCCTCTCCAAACAACTTCTAAGAAGGTACTTGGAACCCTAGGGCTTCACAATGTTTGATATTGAGAGTTTTGCTCCTTCTTCCTTTCCGGAGTGGCCACAACACCACCGCTCGACCGCTCGGCTCCGCATGCGGATCCACTGAGGATTTGCTCCAAGTTCCACCGGAAGGGCAAAAAGATGCCCATGTGACGGGACATTTGGTAGCTTGAAGGCGACTTGAAGGGGACCTGCAATTCCTGATGTTGCGAAGACATCAACGCAAACAGCTTGGTGGACGTCTTCCGTAGATATATTGTCGCTGAACTTTGCAACATGGTTCCAATCAGGAAACTGCCGGCAACGTCAAGTTCCAAGGCCTTTCCGCCGTTGCAAACCAGCGAAAGCACCAGTCGACCAGCCTGTTTGGCGCATCAGTCGACTTACGTTGGAAAAGAGAGCGTGCGAGAAAGAGAGAGGGAGTGGAAGAGAGCGGCATTCAAGGATTCAATGCACGCGGTAAACAGTCGAGTCATGTTTTTGTCACTTGTTGTTTTTCGATATTTTGGTTGGCGTTCTCAGCATAATGCACACAGTACCAGAACCATCCAGAACCCAGAGTAGAATAATCAAAGTCTTGTTTTGTTCTTTGTTGCGGCTTGCTCATTCCTCCGAGAAGTCAGCGGTCCAGGACGGCTTGAAGCTGGTGGCTCTCCGTCCGGGGCCCCCGTCGTGGTCTGTTCACCGACAGGTCCGTGGTTCGCAGCAGTGCTCGCACCGGTCACTCGGCTCCACTCGGCAGAGTGCGGGTTCAGTGGCCGGTCACAGGTATTGATATGTATTGATCCACCTGAGCCGCTGAGGTCGTGCAAAACTCCACCGTTGGTTCCATTTGGTTCCATTTGGTTCCTGTAATGTTCCTCTACTATTTCATGTCAGGTTCAGGACGGGGCCCAAGTGGAGTACTTCAAGAGTCCGACTTCATGGTTGATACCTCAGGTGGGCAGGCCATGCAGGATGCGGCCTCCGTGGGGAAGCAGGCCATCCCGCGGCGTGAGACATTTGACTGGATTTGGGGTTTGGGATGGTTTGGGTATAGTACTTCGCAACCAACCAGGATAGGAAAGTGGAACTTTCATCCCAACATGCTTAAGGCAGAGAGCGAAATAGCTCGACCAATTATCGCCCGCGTGTGCCGCGTAACGAGCGGGCTTCGCGGGCGTAACCCTCTGCGTTGGTCGAACTTCTCTAGATTCGACCTGTTTGGACCCTCCAAGTACTGCAGGACAAAGGACATAACAATTATGTTTTTGGGTGGAGTGAATGAACAGATCGAGAGTGACACACCATCAGCTTTTGGAGGCTGAAACTAGGAGACCTGACCTGTATGGGACTAGATCCCAAGAACATGTTGATTCACACTGATGATGAGTGAAACAAGCAGTAACAAGCTTCTCACCGCCCGTAGTAGAAAGATCCTAGTAAGCCTGCATCCCTCTTCGAAAGGCATGATAATCCTCAAGAACACCCCTTCTGGAAGGAGAAGTTTGAGGTCACTCCTTGTTCAAATCAGAACACAGCTGGGGTCTTGGGCCCAAAGGAACATTGTCCTGTGTCACTAGGTCTTATATTCCAAGACCAAACTTGGTTGACCTGGTGTTGTAGTGGTTGACCTGGTGTTGTAGTGGTTGA